AACTGGCCAATCATCTTCGAGGCCGGCTCAGACATGACCTCGCACTGCACGGCTGCCCCGCTGCCTTACATTGGGCGGACGCCGTTCTCCGGGCGCCGGGCGTTTCCTCGCCTGTCCGCCTACGCATGTCAATCTCATTTCTGTACAGAATACAACATTCTCCCAACCGACGTCCCATTCCTTCTCTTCCTATTCGGAAGTGGGCCTGATCAGATCAGATCAGATCAGATTTATTAAGGGAAATGTAGGCGAGTGCCTTTGAACTCCCTTTTGGTTACAATAACGCCATAAATAAACAATGTGTAAGTCAAGTTTTAAAAAATTAGGTAAGTAATTACATACAACAAGCATTGGTCACTGGTATGAATTTGTCTGTGAATGCCTTCTATGTCAAAATTGTAGAATATCCAGTACGGTACTGAATGGACCAAGTAGTATCAAAGCAAGCGCATATGTGGCGGTCAGGAGATAGCAAAATTGTAAAACGTAATGTTACTAAAATATAGGGAGTAACATTCTTTGTAACATAAAACGTTGGATGTCGCGGGTGGCACAGGGGGAAATTCGTTAGTTTCTGATGCTGTGGAGGTACATATCCCTGTACTGGTCAAGCTTTCTCTTAAATGAGTCCACGGATGAGGACATGACGGCGTCCACAGGCAGGGCGTTCCATGCCTTTACCACTCTGTGGCTGATGAAGGACCTCCTTGCGTCCAGTCTCGCTCCTGTCACACGTAGTTTCAGAGGGTGTCCTCTCAAGCTGGCAGTGGTGGCCAGCTCAAAGAAGTCGCCGGATGCGAGGCAACAGTCCTGACCCCGTAACATTCTAAACGTTTGAATTAAGTCGCCACGGAGTTGTCTGTAGTCCAGGGGAAAGATGTTAAGATTTGAAAGTCTGGTTTCGTAAGGTAGGTTTTGATGACCTCTGACAAGCTTGGTTGCCCGTCGTTGGACTTTTTCGAGGGTGGTACGATCCTTAACAGTCCAGGGTCTCCAGGCCTGAATGGCAAATTCTAACTGTGGGCGCACAAACATCCCGAAGACCTTGCGAAAGCACTCTTCGTCGAACTTGGCAATTGCCCGCTTAATGAGATATAAGCTGGACATTGCGGATTTCGCTGCTTTCAAGCAGTTGAATGATGGCTTTAGTGAAGATGTTGTCCACACCCCTAGGTCTTTCTGGACCTCTACCAGTGGCAGCGGTGTGTGATTTAGATAATACGTCTGCCGGTGCGCAGAGCTGGTTCTGCCAATCCTCAGAATGTTACATTTGGTAACATTAAATGGGAGGAGCCAGTGGCCTGACCATTTTTCGAGTCGGTCTTAGTTTGCCTGTAAATTTGCTTCATCGTCCTCGTTGCGGATGACGGTCCAAAGCTTTATATCGTCAGCAAACATGGCAATTTTGCAGTCCAATCCATGGATAGAGTCATCAATATAGATGAGGAAGAGGATAGGGCCAAGAACGGAGCCCTGCGGTACTCCGCTCGTAATCGTCACCTCTGCCGAGTGCTGGCCACCAAGACGAACAGTCTGGGACCGACCGACTAAAAAGTTTTCAATCCACTTCAAGAGCTTGCCTGTTACCCCTATGCGGCTGAGCTTGTGTAGGAGACGTTGGTGTGGCACGCTGTCAAAGGCCATCTTGAAGTTTATGTAGGCCACATGCACAACGTTTCCTTCATCAATCGCTCGGGTCCACTGTTCAAGACAGTAGAGTAGATTGGTCAAGCAGGACCTCCCTCTGCGGAAACCGTGCTGTGCATCGCACAGAAGATGATTTTGCTCTAAAAGCCGCATCAGTTTGCGTTTGATAATTCGCTCCATAACTTTGCAGCATATAGAGGTGAGGCTTACTGGTCGGTAGTTGTTTGCGGAAGCGCGACTGCCATTTTTATGAATCGGTGAGATCCACGCAGTCTTCCACTCAGGAGGTAGTCTGCCTGCATCAAGGGAGGCTTGCAAGAGGAGACTCAGAGGTTCTGCCAATTCTGTGGCTAATTCCTTCAACAACTTTGCCAGTATTTCGTCAGGACCGGGCGATGTCCCTTCTTTTAGCTTCAGTAATTCCCGTTGAACAATAGGTTTTGTGAGAACCACTGAGTCGATTGTCGGGACATTGTCCACATTCCAGTGATCAATGGGTACAGCGACATCTCTCGAAAAAACCGACTGAAAGAACCTGGGCAGATGCTCAGCCTTTTCGTCGTCCTTGTAAAGTTCAACAACATCATCAGTTTTTAGCATAGGGATAGGATCCCTGTTGCGGGTTCTTTGTCTTATGTAGTTGAAGAAAAGCTTTGGGTTTTCTCCTGCACAGTTTAAAAGGTTACCCTCGAAATCTTGACGCGCTTTGTAAACAAGGCGTTTTACTCTATTCCGCTGAGCCTTGTACCTATTTCTTGATTCAGTTGTCTTGTCCCTAAGATATGCTTTCCACAGCTTTTGCTTACGGTTTACTTCAACTTTTAGTGAACCCTTTAGCCATCTGGGCCTGCTGGTGATTTTCTTTTTCGACATAGGGCAGTATCTGGTGATAAGTCCATTCAGTTTGGCCTTAGGTTCTAGCCAGTCCTTGAGGACACACCCCGTAAATGCTGCTTTCCAGTCTCTACGACGCATGTCGAGACGCATTTGGTTGAAGCCACCACGCCATATGTTGCGTCTAATCACGATGCTTTGATCGGGTACAGAGAAGAGAGAATACTCCCACTGTAGGACTACATGGTCGCTTTTTCCGAGAGGGGGTAGACAGTTTACAACATCAACGCTTTCCGGTGCCTTTGTCAATACAAGGTCTAAGCAGTTAGCTAGTTGTCCTTCACGTAGTCTGGTTGGGGATAAGACGTGTTGTGTAAGATGCGATCTTTGCACAGATTTTAGGAGGCGGTGATCAATGTTAAATTCTGAGCCCGGGGCAGAAGTCAGATTCCAGTCGATATTCGGAGCGTTAAAGTCGCCCATAATCATGACATTGGGTCGGAGCGAAATTGCTTCTAATTCCTCTAGTAGACTACTGTCTGATTGCGGGTCGTTCCTCGGTGGGCGGTAGACCGTCAGGATCTCGAGAGGTTGTTACCCCGGCGTTTTGACGGTGAGCCAAATTGTTTCAGTTGTGCGCTCGAGCTGTGCCTCTTTTGCTGACGCAAAAAGGCCATATTTGACATACACGAGCACACCTCCACCTTGACGTCCCAACCTGTCCTTTCTGAACAAAAAAATAACCAGATAAAGCGACTTCGCGATCGTCTACGCTCGCGGACAGCCACGTTTCAGTTATGGATATAACATCGGGTAAGGTTTGGTTAACGTAGATCTTAAGCTCATCTAATTTAGATAGCAAACTTTGCGCATTGGAATATAAGCATTTTAGCTTTTTTTCCTTTGGAAAGCCGGCTATGACGCCGCCTTTGCCAATTGTCTCGGCTGTGGCGACATACGCACGGGCCGTGCCCATATGAAGCGGGACGGTCGCTCGATTATGCAGTTGTTGTAGATAACGAGGCCTTGTTCGCCATTCATTTGTCGCAGCCTTAGCTCCTGGACTAACTGTCGGCGTTTTATCCGCTCCGGTGGTGTGTAATCCGGCTGAAACAAAACTCCTTGGTGGGAATATTTTAACCTAAAACGTCTTGAGAGGATGAGATCAACATGCTCTTTGCAACTCAGAACAATTTTAAGGGGCCTAGGATGCGGTGGAATAGCGGGTTCAGTAGAGCGCTTTCCGAGTCTGAAGGCTTTCAATACGGAAATTTCTTCGTTGGGTTGAAGCAGTGTGTTTAGAAGACCTTGAAACAAGCCGAGATCAGCTAATACGCGTCCTTTAGGTGTATCTGCTTGAGGCTCCTGAAGTCCCTGTATTACTAGGCACTGTTTTCGGAGCGGCCGGTCTTGGGTGCGTGATGTTGGTGACTTGAGAGTTCCTGGCGAACCATTCATGATGACATTCTGGTTGCCATCCACTCCAGGGATCATTTCTGCAGCTAATGGTATCGTGTTTGGGGCAATACTGCTCCTGCCTTTTATGTCAATACAGAGGATATTCGCATTTGCCGCGTCTGTGTCTACGCCGGCGCTGGAGGTTTCTGTCGATTGCTCAGACAAGCTCTGCTTTTCCGCCCTAGGAAGTTCCTTTCTTCGAGTACTCCGAAGTCGTGCGATTTCCGTCTCTCTCTTTTCAGTCATCAGTCCCCTTTCATTTAACTGCTTCCTTTGATGTGACCTCAATTGCGTTTGAACGGTCTGAGCCTTATTATTAATTCCTTGGTTCTCCTCGGTCACATTGCGGGGGGTGGTGATCGTTTGCTTTCTGCTCTTCTGCGGCGGATTAATATCATGCCTTGTCATATTCTTCACGATTTCCTCTGAGGTTTCCTTCCATGCGGTAGTCTTTTCTATGTCGAATCCTTTTACCTTCTTCTGTGGTGGAGATCGGACAGCTTCTACTCTGCCAGTGAGCTGGTCATTGTTCTTCAGCTGGGTAGTTATCAATGATGAGAGTGTACTGCCATTATCACTTCGCAACTTAGTTTGCGATTTTGGAGTGTCGTTTATCATCGCTCTTGGTGAGGGTGAGGCTGTATGTTCATGTTTCCGTTTAACTTTTCTCTTAGCACTCTGTTTATTTCTGCAGCCAGCGATCCCCTGAAACGGTGATCCCTCTACTAGTGGGTTGCTGTTAGTCAACTCTGTCAGTTTCAAAACTATCTGTTGGCTGCTGCTGAATTCATCAATTGACCTGAATTTATCTCTAAGGAGGTTCATGTTCGTCTCCAACGACGTAATGTTTAACGCGAGATCTCGACAATATTTACACCGCGTACCACAATTTGAAGTTTCATCATTTGGTAGAAAATCTTGTGTAGTCGTAGCGAATTTCCCGGGATAATTTGCGTTGCGGGCCACCCCCGTCCTGTTTTGAACCACTTCTGGCGCACTGCATTCGTTAGATCCTCCCTGCCCGACGTGAATCGACGCTGGTCCGCGTGGAGTTGCTAGTGCACTATGTTCATGGCGAAGTCCGACACATTCCCCAACCGTGGGGCTAATGCAATTAATATCCATCGGTGCCGATGGCCGAGGGTTCTAGGCGTTCGCCTCGTGAGGCGATGGTCGGAGGTTCGATTCCTGCTCTCCACGCCTTTTTTTCATCCCGCGGGACTGATGGATCGTACACTTCTACATTTCCCACGTCTCAATGCGCCAAAGTCAAGGATACAACAACGGCCGAAAGGTTGGCAGCAGAAGACAGACACAATCAAAAGACTTAAGCCGCCGCCATAAATCCGCCCATCAACACACCCCGGTCTCCCAATGGCGCACCACAGGCAACAACATCCAATAATACAGGCCTGGACCTGTGGTGCTCCAACTGGGGGTGGATGTTGCAACGCTGAGGCCCTCGCGACTACTTGACCGCGCGCGCACAAGTTGTAGTCTGGCTCTTAGTTGCTACCGGCTGACCAAACTGCCAAATCATCTTCGAGGCTGACTCATACATGACCTCGCTGAAAGCGCTGGACTACTGCCCCGCAAGCGGCCTAACCGTGCTAAGTGTCGAAACCCACCTACTCGACCTCCAATATGAACACAAGGCAGTGACATAAGAGGAAGACTAAGGATTATTTCGGACGACGGGCTGGAGTTCAGACACGGGGAGGCCTTTTGGCGGGGACAAATTGGCCTGGCAATGGTCATTAGTTGATCCGGCAAGCGAGAACGGCAACGACGTGTGGAGGCGTCGGGGAGCGGCGTCCTCCGGTCCAAGGTGCCCGGGCGCCAACTGTCCTCGGTACTTATGGGGCCTCCAGTCGGTGTGGGCAGGTTCAAGGAATAGACCAGTAGGCAAGAGTAAGTATACACAATGAAAGATAGGATAACACGGAGGATTAGTCGATAGGCTTATCGAGGCTGCAGACTGCCGCATATGGCAGCCTTGCGATAGCCCCGATAGGTTTAATGTTGAGAGGTGACTAGCGCGGCGCCGTGGTGCTGGTGGATAACCGGCAACGCGCTAGGGAGTCTAGCATGACTAATCCGAAATCGGATACACTGCGTCTACATCCCTACACCATGACCTCGCTGAAGGCGTCGGACATGCCGCTCGCAACTCCTACCAACCTCTTCTGTAATAATTCAGCATAGAGTACAACATCCTCGCAACTGGCGTCCCACTTCTTCTCTTCCTGTTCGAAACTGGGTCCCCCAGAAGGCCAAGCATCCGAGACCAAGTTAGAGTTCGAGGATCAAGATCTGCCCCACGGCGTATGAGTCCTGGTCAGGTGGGAGTTTCTATTTACACATTTGGCAACGGTAAGGTATAGGACACCAACTAACTTGAGGTAGCCCGTTGACCGTGTCGTACGTTGAATGACCGTAGAGGGGGTTTTATTGGTGGGGCAACATGCAGGGCGGAATTCAAGAAGACACAGAAGGTAAATTGCCGAAAGTCTTGTTGCGAGCTGTCATATGACAAAGAAATTGAGCACAGTAATTTAGAAAAAGACAAAATGGCAACTTTCGAAAATGACGGATTTTGATTAAACCGGCTCTGGCGAGTTTACATTCAATCAGGAAGCCCAAGAGATGTCAGTCAGCAGGAACGTTGAATCGCGAGTGAGGTCTACAGTCACACGGTCTGTTAGAACATACGTTGGAAATGCTAACTACTTGAGGTCCTACACCCTACCGTTACCCCACAGTCTGCTATAAAAAGCTCATTCTGTTAAGGAAGTCTTCCAACCGAAATCTTACATGTTCATTCCAAAAGAATGGATGTACAGTACGTGGCCTATCTCATGAAATCTGATAACTGGAACTGATGAGAGAAATTCTGGACGCCTTTAATGTTGCGCATTTTGTTCGCTCATCCACATCCTTCAATGAAATGTCCTTTTCTTGTGCAGACATTGTGTTTGCGTAATTATATCAAGTAAAATATCAGTAACTTTTAGCGAAAATGGGCGTTGGAATATATTTGTGCAATTTCCTATGCTAATACATGTCCTAGACTCCGGTTACGCATCTAAGCGACTTTTTCATTGAAATGATAGTAATTTGCCCACAAGAGTTTTAATAAACAGATCTAGCCGAACTTGGAAATTCATTTTATGTTCTACGTTAACCATGGTTATCAACCTGCTAACACAGAGGTTATTTTAAGAAAACCAGAGCTTTTATCAATTCCGACATGTCAAAATAGCAGATCTGTGCGATTTAGTGCCATAAAGTACAGTAATAACGCAGAC